CCTGAACTTGGTGGGAATTCTTTGAGTGTTGGAGAGACCTGCATTAATTACCTCTGAGGAGTCGACTGTGGGAAGCACAGAAACTTTTAAGGCATCACCCTGTAGTACAATTGCACAAAACTGCTCTTCTCAAGGATGTTTGAGATTCAGAGAGGGACATATATTGGTTTTCCCATCTTCCTGGTACATGTAGATACTCTAGCTGCAGTGTCCATGCTGGCCCTTGATATTCATCACACTGCCCTGTGTGTGTGTTTGTGTGCAAGCTGGGAAGGAACATTGGCACCTTCCACATAAGTGTCTGTATGGGTCAGCTGCAGTCTGGTTTCTTGATAGGAACAGCTTAAATTTAGGCTAACATTTATGGTGTTCATGGCTCAGTTGAGTGTTAGCAGGGAGTAGGGGAAGAGATTATCCCATCGTGCAGGTAAACAGAGAAGGATCCAAACTACTATGTCCTTGTTGCTATAGCTCATAAAACCTCCACTATAAAAAGGAGGAATCCAGGCAGCATGAGATTAAATCCCCTGTGTAGGTCTTCAAAGGGAGGCCATCATGCATAGGTCCATCCTGTGGATCTCCTGTTGTAGCAGCCCTGCTGGAGGATGGCCTTTTGCTCACTGCGCTTCCTCCCCACCTTTCTGGCATGCCTGGTAGCTAAAGCACCACTGAAGTGATCTTTTAAAATAGTAATCTCCAGGGTGAGGAGAACAAAAGAGAGAAGAGAATTTAAGTTTTAGGATACATTACACTTAAAATTCTGAGACTGTTCCAGTGACAGGCAACATAAAGAATTAGGTTTACAATTTGAAGTAAGTTTCGTTGTAAAAATAATTGGACTGGTGAAGCAATCTTGCTCTCACTAAATTGCTTTCCTAGGAACCTATCCTGAATGGGGCTGTGCAGCTCTTTCTGATATTTGAACATCCTCAGTTCTCATTGACTTCAGTGGGAATTGAACTCATTGAACTCCTCACTAGGTAATTAGTTCCATGTAGGTCTGATTTTTCTGCAGCAAATCGGTTGCTGCCTTTACTTTCACTTAGCAGTCAGACCCAGTGCTCCTCAAGCTCCAGCCTTAGCATCTATGCATCATTTAATGACTCTTTTGCGAAACACATACTTAAGCATTTGTGCTTATATTCTGTTGCTTACTGCTTACTGTGGACAGGATTCACAATAGTTTTGTTACAATGACTGTGTCACATTACCAAAGAGAACATGCAAAATACTTGATGGAAAACCTTTCCAAAAATAACCCTGATATAGTTTTTAGATTAGTTTAGGTTTGCTTTCTTTTTAAGTAGGGTGAGTATGTTTTGCCTTCAGAAAGGGTAGGATGCACTTCAAAACAAATATTAAGAGGACAGCTTCATTCACGTGGAGGGTGAATGACATAATGACTGAGATAATGAAAATGAGATTTTCTATTTTTCCTCTCCATGAGAGAAGACCTACTGAAATGCAGTATATTTACAGCCCCTGATATTGCTAGCTCTAAATGTTTTTGCTTTCATGGTCTCCATTTGTGCTACTGTACATCTGGGGATGATGGATTGTGGAGCACTGGGTGTTGAGATGAAGAGAATCAATAGGATGATACAAAAGATGAAATAACTCTGATGGAACATCAATAAAGGCTAAAAGTTGCCATAGGGATTTGAATCTTAAGGAAGAGCTTGAGAAAATATATTAAGAATTCACTTCTCCCTTTGCACTTGTACTGCCTTTATTCCATGAGTAGAAGTCACATGGGGGTTCTTGTCAAGGGCAGGGATAAAGGAGTGTTTTTTCTTTTCTGTGTCAGTGTGGTGCTCAGTATGATCCCTGCTGGGCACGATGTCTTCTGAGTACTGTCACTGTGTCGTTGTTACCTCAGCCCACAGCTGGTATGAATGAGAATGGAAGAGTAGAGCTCTTAGTTACCTCGTGTGCTGTTAGGGGGGTTCAACACACACAAACTGCAGCAGAAGTAGGAGAACTTCTATTGTTGCTAAGTTATTCAGTGTTTAAGAGGATGCGTGTCACAGGCCTGTATGCTGGTGAGCATAGCCTGGGGCATTCCCAACCAAGAGTCTTTCCTTTTGACTCAACCAACTGGCAAGTTGTGCAAAGTTGTGCAAGTTGTGCAAAAACAATTGCAGAACCCATATTTTGCCTCTGTACAGTGGTGTATTCAGTGATTTGTTGGGGTGCAGTTTGGAATATTTGATCTGAAATGGAAAGGAGTGTTTAGCAAGTGGCATATTTGCAGCAGACAAAAAGGTCTGTCTCATCCAAAATAACTACCATCTCTATCCAAGCAGAACTGCAGTGTTGTTGGGGATTATTGGTTTTTTGCTTGTTTGTTTGTGTTTTGGGTTTGTTTTTTGCTTGAGCATAGACTAAATGAGGTTAATCTGATGTGATTCTTTTCAATAATCCAAGTGCGAGATCTTGCACCCGGGTTGAGGTTACCTCCCCTACCAACACAAACTGGGGGATGAAATGATTAAGTGCAGCCTGCCAAAAAGGACCTGGGGGTACTGGTGGATGACAAGTTGGACATGAACCAGCAGTGTGCCCTCGCAGCCCAGAAAGCCAAACATATCCTGGGATGCATCAAAAGATGTGTGACCAGCAGGGTGTGGGAGCTGATCCTGCCCCTCTACTCTGTGCTGGTGAGGCCTCACCTGGAGTACTGCATCCAGATGTGGAGTCCTCAGTACAGGAGAGACCTGGACCTGTTGTAGAATGTCCAGAGGAGGGCCAAGGGGTGGAACACCTCTCCTACAAGGACAGGCTGAGAGAGCTGGGGCTGTTCTGCCTGGAGAAGAGAAGGCTGGGGGAGACCTGAGAGCAGCCTTTCAGTATCTGAATGTGGGCTGTAAGAAAGAAGGGGACAAACTCTTTAGCAGGGACTGCTGAGATAGGTTCCAAGGTTAAAGAGAGTATATTTGGGTTAGATATAAGGAAAAAGACTTTCACAGTGAGGGTGGTGAGGCCCAGAGAGGTGGTGGATGCCCTGTCCTTGGACACATTCGAGATCAGGCTGGACTGGATTCTGAGCAGCTCGATCTAGCTGTAGGAGTCCCTGTTTATTGCAGTAGAGTTGGGCTAGATGACCTTTAAATGTCCCTTCCAGCTCTAAGGATTTTATGATTCTGCAATTCTGAGCTGCAAAACAAGAAAACAGAAGAATCCTTGAATCATTTTCCAGGCAGACAGAAATCCAGGTGGGAGATGGTTTTCTTTCCATGGTATATGGATAAATTTGATGAATTCTATTTCTGAACAATGCACATGTTGCAGATATACGGTAAATTGTGATTTTATTGCTAGCTTTCACTAGGGCCTTTATGCAGGAGGCACACCCAGAGCCCTACATTAGATTGTACAGTAGAGGTGCTATTGGATGCGAGTGAGGGTATCACAGTATGCATCTTAACGTTTCTGCTGTAATGCTGAATCTTTCTGTTCTCACTGTTATCTTCCTGTTTCCCAAATGTTTATCAGAACCGCTTTCATAAACTACTTCTTAATTTTTGCTTGCAGCGTTATGCAAAAAAACCAAACTTCTGGTTGCAGATTGCATTCTGAAAGGATATTCATTGCTCTCAGGTGTATAATTCATACTGATGCCACACTGTAGACTTTAATTAGAATTCCTAACTCCATCACTCTCAGGGTTTGAAACAAACACTAAATAAAACACGTAACTTTGTCACAAAGATAAAGTTAATTCAGAGAGGTAAATTAAGTTAGAACCATGAACATTCCCCCTCTGAATTCAATATGCGTTTTGAAACAGTGATAATATAGACATACCATTCAGCAAGTGGAAATTTGGGCTGTTAGTGTATAAAACCTGAGATGTTTCTATCTAAGCAAACTGTATGGGAGCTGCTCACTAAGACATGCCATGTAAAAACAGAGCTATTAAGGCATGGTTGGCACCATCATTTTTCTTTTGCAGATCTGGTGGTATTTTCCAGCACTAACTTTTAGAGCTGAAATGAATTAATGCAGAAGCCAAGGTTAGGTCCTATACTTATTTGCTTAGCTCAAAGTCAAACTGTCACAAAAGGATGCAAAGGAATAAACTGTTCTGAAATGCATTAGTGTTATTAGTAATATATTAAAATGCAGCACATTTTTAAAAATATTACTTGTGTCAATCCTGTCTTCCAAGGAATAGACTACTTAATCAAGCAGTGCATTTAAGTTTATGACTTATTTCAAGCATGAGAACACAGAAGAACTACTCACACGCTTAAAGTTAAGCACAAGATTAATTGGACAAGGTTAATAGCCCTGCTGGGATGAGATCAAGTACTCAACTATAAGGACTTGACTCTTCCAATCTTCCTTATAGTTTGTTCTATTCTGAGACACCTAGACACCTATTTCGTCCCATTGCATACAAGAGTGGTGTAGCCAAACGTTACTTACATTGTAAATCTAAAGATGAAACCTTAACCTCTGGGATCAGGACTTCTCCCTTAATAGTGCATTGCTCTGACTTCTCTGGCAGCTTAAGGCTCACACAAGTTTAATGGAGAGTGTCCTCTAGAGAGCTGCTTTGCAGGTGTGGCAGCTGAAGGGCCCAGAAGTGAAAGTAGTCAGGCTTAGGCTAGTTAGCACAAGGAGATAAAGTGTACCCTTAATCAGCTGCAGCTGATGTTCTGAGTTCAAGCCTTTTCTCTAAATCCAGGGCCTAGGGACCTTAACCCGAGCTTTCCCATGTGGCAGATGAATGCCGCGAGCAGTAGGCTTTTGAGGGGTTTAGATCTTGCATTGGTTCTCCCAGGAGTCACAGAGCTTAAGGGTTTCAGTGAACAATCTGCCTCTAAGTCTTAAGGTTTGAACTGTAATATTTCTTGGGGCAGGCAGCTGGGAGGCAGCCGTGGGGTGCAAAACTCAGGCGCTTCAAAAAAGCTTCTTAAGGCACAAAACAGTTCCTGTACAGATCTCCTGTATTCCTGAGGGTAACAACAACACTTTTGTTTCTCTGTTTTCAGGTTGCTCCTGTAGTTAAAGAAAGGATGATGAAGAAGGGCAGCATGATGCTTGGGTACCAGCCTAACCAAGGCAAAGTCAACTTCTTCCGCCAGGTGGTGATCAGCCCACAAGTGAGTCGAGAGGACATGGACTTCTTGCTGGATGAGATAGAACTGCTTGCCAAGGACTTGTAGCTGTAGCTCTACAGCACCGGGCACTGCTTGTGTGTGATAATTATGGAGACAGAATGGCAGCAGTGTTCTGGTGCTATTTTGTGAAAGGTAGTGAAAAGCTTGACGTATAGTTTGGAAACTATCATTTAACATTGTGACGTTCAGAGTTTTGCAGGTAGAATTCCCCTCCACAGGAAAGTATTTGCTGATGGGAGCTGGGACAGGGCAGTGCCTGCAGCACCACGGCCATTCTGGGAAGTGTTTCCTGGAGCAGGGAGCACTTCTGAAAATGGTGTCTTTATCCCAGAGAGGGCTGCTATTCATGGGGTGCCTGTGTAGCTCGGGCTGATTGCTTATATAGGCAGGCAGTACTCCTCTCAAGTTACTGTTAGTAGGGAATTTAGCCCAGTGAGCTTTAAAACGCTCATTAGTACTCTGTCTACTTTGTCAATATTTTAGTTTAGTATGAGTTTAAGAGTAGAGACCTGGCTGATATTTACACTGATAAGACTGGAAATTGTGAACTTAAATGAAGAGTTCCTCAAGGTTTCTAATTAGGTGAATTGCCCAGATTTCCCATTGTGAGCACTACTACAGGCAGTAGAACAAGGGCCCGGTGAGGCTGTGCTGTCACCATCCTTGAGGTTTGCAGGACCTGGCTGGACAAAGCCCCAAGAAGTCAACGCTGACCTTGCTTTGGGACAGTAGAACTAGATGACCTCTTAAGGTCCCTTCCAACCTAAACACCTTGTGATTCTGTGAAATCAAATGATTGGCCTGGTCACTGTTTGCCAACATTGCCTACACTGCAATAGCAGTGCTGAGAATATTGGAAGTGTCTTAGAAATTCTTATGTCTTTGGCAACAAGAGCTAGTTATAATTTCTGAACTATATTTAAGGCATAAATATTTATTTAATGGATTTAGATGCACTTTAAAATTATAACATGAAAAAATTATATTTACCTGAAAGATATGTATTTTTAAACATGGCAACTATATGTTAAAAATGTAGAAAAGTGACAGTTTTCACTGTCAGTCTATATTTGCCTATATTAGATTTGAGATGACTTATTTTACGTTATCAGTGTATAATTTATAATTTGGCACTGAAATCAACATGGAGGTGATCAGTGATAGCCTACCTGTTTTTATGATGGGAGCCATCCGAGTATCTTTTGTTAATCTTATGTTGTGAAGTTAAGTTCTACACTTTGTGTTAAGAATTATAGTATCCTTTTGATTTGTTGTCATTTTAGATAAAAAAGGGGCAGCTTTGTAAAGCTAGAGATGTATTTCTTGGATTGAATTTCTTGCAGCAGGCTAATGAGAATAACATCTTTCATTATCTGATTATCACCTACTTACCTTATTGTTTTGATGTTTGTTCCTTATTTTGTATTTGAGGTAGCACTGACCAATGCAAATCTTTCTGCTGTAATGTGTTGATGAAAGTTGTCTTTAAACACAATGCTTTTATATTTTCATTTCTCACGTTATGCTAGGATCCAACATCGCGTGACATTCCTACTTCCCACCTCCAGGATGATGGTATGGAAAGTTTAGCAGGGTCATGATGATAACCTAGGAGGTCATACTGTCAGAGCAGTAAATAGAAGGAGGAGTCAAATCTGCAGAACTTGACAGATGTCTTTAACAGTGTCCTGGAAGTGATTATTTTGTTGCTATTACAGCGAGTCACTGGATAGTAAGCTGAACTCCACATTGATATTAACATAAAAATAAATGGCACAACATGGCCTCTTGATTCTAAACTGTAATAATTGCAGAATACTTTATCATTTACTATCTAGTGCTTCTGGGTATACCAGTTGTTATGTTTTGTAAAGTACATAACTAAATTCAGGGCCGACAAAGCTTATTTAGCCTCTCAGCCACTCTGGGTGGAGTGCAGAGCATGGCAAGGGCTGCTGAATGGATGCGATGATTTTGCTATTGCTTCTGAAGGTAGATAGGACTGTCAACCCTTCACTTTTTCTTTTTTGTCCTTGAAGGGAAAGACAGAATACTGTCAGGATTCTTTTATTGTTATCCAGAGTCTTGGTGAGTACTTTGACTCAGAGGAAGCATGTCACTTGCCATCAGCTAAGAATTTGACCTGGTGTTTTGTGACACCACTACTATCAAAAAAGTGTTGTTTCTTTCCATGTTAGCACATTTTTCTGTTTCCAGGTACTGTGGGACTTCTGTCTCGTGTTGGGCTGAAGTAGCAGTTTCTCCTGTATCAGTAGTGGCTGTAGTTCTTTTTTTAAATGAGGGGAAAATGGAACTTTTTCAATGTTTGCAGAAAGTGTCAGATCAACATGTGTACTGATGTTTTCAAAGGTATGGTTTAACCTTTCAGTGTGATGTGAGTGCCTTATCTGATGTCTATATATCTTCTCGTGTTTCTGACCCCTTATCATGTCCATTGTGTGCAATACAGTGGTCTCATTTCAGGACTAATGTAATTTTTTTCATAGTTGCTTATTTAGGATTGGTATGTATGAAATGGCTATTTTGTAGCTGATGATTTTAATAAAAAGTGAAGTAAATGACACCCATATAAATGTAGGCTGTGTTTGTAATTTCTCAATCTAAAACTGCAGAGATATGTATAAAAGAGGTACCAATGAGCTCTCCAGATGGAGAAACAGCAAGCTGCCTGCACAGCCTTACAATGTGAAACCTAGCTTAACCATGCTTCAGGATGTGGTTTATCTGTGTGCTGTGCCCTTATCATCTTTAATAAACATCTTGGATGAAAATGTGTCACCATTTAACTTGCTCTCGCTTTAAAATGCAGAAGCTAAATTATTTTTGCAGAAATGGCTTTTTTTTTTTTTTTTTTAAACTATATGGGACTGGCCCATGAGCTCCCTCCCACTCTTAGTTACTGAGTTATATCTCTCAGGATGCTAAGCCAGTTGTGAAAGTAGTGGAGTACAGGTATAAATCAGTGTAGAAACAGATCTACTGGCTGATTCATTTTTTTTTTTTCTTCTTAATTTTATGTGTCTACTTTTAATAATCTTTTTTCAATACAGAGCTTTAGGAAAGAAAGTCTCCTATTCTATCACATACAAGCTCGGCAAAAAGCCAATGGTACGCTAGAAGTGTAATTTTAATGCCCAGTTTTCAACTGCTCCAAATCTGCATGGCCTTTCTTCCCTGTTGGCTGCTTATGGGCAATCAGCAGGAGAGCAAAGTGTGTTCACCCAGGAAATCTGTTCTAGGTAAGGCCTGCTGACATGACGGCCCTTCTTCCTTTGGCAGAACTATTAAATGCTGATACATCATTTGAGTTTATAGATGCTGTATTTAGTACAGTAGCTACTGTTACATCCTGAAATAATGCAATTGTACATGCTAATTGCAGGTTAGATGCAGTCGAAGTGATGCTGTCTGGCAAATGCACTGTGCAAACCATGAGAAACCCTGGCAGAGAGGTTTTCTTCCTTGAAATTGAACGTGGTCTCCCACAATTACATGTTTTTGCTTCAGATGTACAATTAGATGCTATTACTCTAATTCTGTAACTACACAATAATCATCTAAAAATTACTTTGAGAAACAAAACAAAACAAGGAAATTTGCACAGCAAGAGGTACAATGAAGAGAACGTCAAAGGTTTCAAGGCAAACCCACAATAGGAAACAATGGGTAATGGGAACAATTAACCTTTGCTAAAATCTAATTTATGTGAATGCTCTGCAAATCAGTGCGGGAACAGTATGGTGAGATGATAGCTCCCATTATAGAATCACCACAGAACTTTTGTATCCCCTAACACTGCAGCCGTCTGCCCCAAAATATCACACTTCCCACTGATACCAGAGAAGACCTTAAAGAAAATACCACACCTTGTAACATGGTAATGGTTTTGTGTGTAACAGGATAAAGTGAAACTGGAAGGGCAGTGTTGAAAAAAATCCACCAGAGATGACCACTGTAAGCTCACATACATTCAAAATACAATTGTTCACATAAGGCAAAAAGCAGAAGTTGACAGGCATGGGCCTTTCAAAGTCTGCTGAGCACGTTCTCTTTTGATGAAGTAATTTCTTTCTTGTAAGTAACTTGGAGAGCAGTCATTTCTACAGAACTTCTTAGAAACTGAAAGTATGATGAAAAGAGTTGCCATGAACGAGCAGAGGCCCATGGAACAGAGCATCTGCCTTTGGGACCATGTGCTCTGTACTGTCCTTTGCACAAAGCTGCTCTTCCAAGAAGCTTTCACCCCACCAGTCATTCTGGGAAGTGACTCCTTGGAACTGGCAGACACTGGCAGCTATAGCGTTATCCAGTCTGCTCTTTTTGTTCCAGGTGGTAAGGATTTTTTTGCTCTTTCTCTGATTCTGTACCCTCTCTTGTGCTTGCAAATTCCAGTTTATTTGCAGGGAGATTTTCTGTATTTGGCACTGTGGGGAAAATGTCAGCATAGCAGAAGGGGGAAGATTGAAATCTGGACCAAAAGCTACATTCAGGATTGTATCTTGGAGTGGTGTTTGCCTTCTCTGTCTCAGCCATGGGTTTTTCTCAATGTTCAGATGATTGTACATACTCCTTCCAGTACCTAAAGGGAGCTTATAAACAAGGAGGGGAGTCAACTCTTTACAAGGGTAGATAACAGCAGGACAAGGGGAAATGGTTTTAAGCTGAAAGAGGGAAGATTTAGGTTGGATGTCAGAGGGAAGTTTTTTACTATGAGAGTGGTGAGGTGCTGGAATGCTTGGAGTAGAGAGGCTGTGGATGCCCCGTCCCTGGAGGTGTTCAAAGCCAGGTTTGGATGGGGCCCTGGGCAGCCTGGTCTAGTATTAGATATGGAGGTTGGTGGCCCTGCACGTGGCAGGGGGGTTGGAGATTCATGATCCTTGAGGTCCCTTCCAACCCGGGCCATTCTGTGATTCTGTATGATTCTGTGATTGTCACCCACTGCTGCTGTCACATCTAAATGATCACCAAGATCAGAGCTTTGCTATACTCTGTACAAAAGGGGAGACCAGCATGGCCTTGGGAAACTAAAGCAAAGTGTGGCAGAAAGAAATGTTAATTGTATTGTTTTATTGAAGAATGATGCATAAGCAAGTTAAATCGTCCATTTTTTTTCATGAAAACTTGCACTGTGGCTTTGGGAAAACTGTTAAAGATGCAGCAAAAAGCTGCAAAAACTTTCTGATAAGAGCTAGTGTGTGGTAAACGCTTGTGAAAAACTGTGGGGGTGGATGTGAAGATGGCATGAACACTATGAGCTAAGCCTAAGTGCCACATTAATTAAGTCAGCCAAGAAATGACGTGCTGAACATGAAAGCAGAACTAGCCCTTATCCAGAACATGGCAGCAGGAAAAACCTGAGCTGGGCATGAGCTTGGCAGCGGTTTTGCAGGTCTGTTTTCACAAGCTGTGGGCAGGGAAGGGCTATGGCATTGATGGGTTTTATAGCAGTGCAGAGCAGTGCTGCCTGGCGTTGTACTCCATCTACTGGTGTTTCTTCTGGTAACAAACTTCTGAAACCAAAGGATGTTTCTTCCAAAGAGCATTCTTGGACATGACATATGTGACAGATGTCAGAAAACGTTGCTTTGCTCCAGGCCAAGTTTTCTGTGAAAACCATTGGATTTCAATGGACACTACTGAATACATGCAGAGTGACAATGCAGTCTAATGGTGAGCCTTTCATAATGCCCACGTGGTGATGGGGACGTTGCCACGGTGTATATCTCATGGTGACATTGATGCATGCAGGCATCGAGGGTTTTGCTGAGCAATGGGGAGCTCAGGTGCCCTGAGACCTGCAGATCCCCAAGAGCCCCTCAGCTGAGCAATGAGTCCTAACACTTGCTCTTCACCAAGACTGAAAATGTTGGCAGGAGCTTGCTGGCCACATTTAAGCCTCAGAATGCTGCTTTCAGGCTTGATTTTATTCTGAAGCAATGAAAATGAATGTTTTTTAAAATATTTTCCTTTCCATGCGAAACACGGCTGTTCTAAAGTTAGTTATGAAAGAGGATGTCCTATTTTCATAGCACCATGCATTTTGAAATTCTCATAGAACAAAATTTCTGGCTTCTTGACTTCCCTGCAGTCAGAACCTTGGAAACTGAGACCAAAGAGAAAACTGCAGCCCCTCTGGCAGGAAAGGATCCCAAGATTTCATCGAGATGCTGTGCTGTCCATCTTGAGATGGGATCAGTGATACCAGACAGATGGTGTAGCCTGTAATTCATTATCTTGAATTCTGAACATCCTGAAGACTTCCTGTGAGGTTATCTTAATGACTTATCTTTATTCTCCCTTCTGATCTGGGGGGACAACCACTCGTGAGACAACGCATTTTTCCTCTTTGCAAATTCTGTGCATTCAAAGGCTATTGCCAGACCAGTCCTCTGAGACCTTACCAGGGTTTCAAAGAGGGGAAAGGCTACTTACAGCCACTGCTGCTGCTGATACATCACAGTATGATGTTTGCCTTCCTGTATAACAGCAAGTCACTATTGACTCTTGCTAGATTTGGGCTCCATTCTGCCCAGTAGAGCATTGTGGCTAACTGCTCTGCATGGCTTTTCCCCATTAGATGGCTGAAGACAGAATTAGTCCTGATCAAGTGTCCTTGCTAAAAAGAAGATCGGGCTTTTTCAAAACACTTATTCAAATCTGTCAAGAGCAATTTGAATTGGAATTCCATGCTGCAGCATGCTTGCAGCCTCTTGCAGCACAAGAATGCTTGCAAATTTAATAAGCACATGTTCCAGTCCATCACCTAGGCTACTATTTCAAATACTGAGTAGCAATAGACCCAGGTGACCGTGGAGCAGCGCTGAGAAGCTCGTAGGGATGTACTTGGTAATTATTATGTCTTTCAAGTCAGATTTGCGCCCACTCCTTACTTGAATTTAGACAACACTTCCTTCGTTTGCTAACAAGAATGGCATTTCAGGCGATGTCGAAAGCCTTTCACAACTCAACATGTTTACTGTATCTTCTCCATTTACAAGGGATACTGCTCAGCAGGAAATCAAACCATGATGTCTCCATGCTGACTTTTACCCTGGACAAGTGCAAAGATAAGCACGAAGGGATCTAAAATTGCTTCTGCTAATCTTTTTGGAAACCAAGGAAGAATTTCACCCAGCTCAGCAGGTTTGAAACAATGCAATACATGTAAAATTTTCTATGCTACTATTACCCTGTGCTATCTTAAAAAAAAAAAAAGATCTTTAATTGCCTGATTGTTGCTAGAAAGAACATAATAGTATCATGGATCCTTAGAGTTGGAAGGGACCTTCAAAGGCCATCTAGTCCAACTCCCCTGCAATGAACAGGGACATGCACAGCTCAGTCAGGTTCCCCATGGCCTATCCAGCCTTGAAAGAAGACTGATACAAACACACAAATACCAAACATTTTGGCTGTTTCAGCCACGTTTCCTTGCCATTGTGAAGTTCTTCCTGAAGGGTTTTCTTTTCTATGTTTTTATGTTTTCCTTCCTAAAAACACCAGAACTGGAAGAGAAGAAGGCCATTGCTCCCATCCTGGAGTATTTAGACTGATCAGATGACATTGTAGGTGGGCTATTTCCTCAGATACTTGCATGAGACATTTAAAAAAGAGGTCCTTTCCACATCTGTTTTACGAGCCCAGGTTCCCTGGTGGTTCCCTTTGTAGTCATGGAGAGAAAAGCCCAGGGAAGGGCTTTTTTTGGTCTTTGGACCAATTTACTTATCCAGAGATGTTGGAGGGAAACTGCTGCATCTCTTTTGGGAAAATTTTCTTGAGAAAGATACGAAAATATTTTACATTCTAAAGTAGATCTTCTGCCAAAATGTTTTTCTCTAAAACTAATAAAACCAAATTAGACTGTTCCCCAGCTCAGGAATGAATTTTGTCTGGTTGTGTGTCATGGATATAATAAACAGTTTATACAAGAGCAAAGGCTGTGTTTAAGTACAGCCGATTCCTGTTTGGTTTTCTGTGATTAACCTAAACAATTTATAAATGGATGAAGTAAGTTCATTTAAATTCTTTTTTCCATTTCCTTTGGATCTGTTAAGATTGGTTTCTTAAAAGCTACCATTCCATAAGTGAATTCAAGACGTACATTCACAAATGTTAACATTCCTGCAGTGAAATGAACTTGCCTTCTTCTTTTCCTTATTTAATAAGACATATATATCCTCTCCAGAAGTACTTGGGCTGAATGCCCCATTCTCGGTGGGAGATGCTGTTAATGCCTTGAAACACGGGAGCACTTTGCTGTGTCATTCAGAGCATCCCAAGGAAGTTGTAACTCTAATCCCCTGCACAATGCTTTTGCAGACTCCTCCTCGCTGACAATGCCGAAGTGTTGGTGAAGGAAATGCTGCTCCTGGTCATCACAGGGGGGTTAGCTGCAGCAAAAGCATGAGGATGTCTGTGTGAAAGAGTGCAAGGCTTAACAACTGGAAAATTAGAAATCTTGGGATGAGATTTATGTCCTGCTCAAAACCTTTTAGCTAATTAAAGCTGTAGCTGCTCTCTTTCTGCCTCCAAGAACACCGTATGGATAACAGACAGCAAGCACCTTGATTGAAGAGGATCACTCCCTGGCTTCAATTTTCACCCAAGGAGGAAAGCTCACCCTTCAGAAACAGCATTGGCTGCAAGTGCCTTTCCTATGGATGGGATATTTGGGATGAGCTGTGTGAACCCATGTAGTCTCCTTGGGGCAGCACTTTGGAGCAGCATCACACAGTACTTCCTCCTGGGGCTGGGAGCAGCTGCTCTCTGGGTTTTCTCACTGGGGCCTTTCCCTGGGAGCCTTCAGTTTAGTGTTGTTAGAGCAAAGAAAGATGAAATGTCGGTTTTGTCGTTTCAGGCATTCATACACCCTGTACAAAAGGCTTTGCTCTTTTAAAAATGGTGTTTCACTTTAAATGATTTTCGAGTGATCATCACAATGATTCACAGAAGCAGCCCTGAGCAGACCTCGTATTTTCACAGCAATTGCTGAATCTACAAGTCTGGGAGGCATTCTTCATAGACTGCCAGTGCATGCATTCCAATTTAATATTGATGTATTTATGATCTTATTTTACGGGATGGTCAGAGCAACCTGGATGGATCGTTGCAGAAGCCCTCTATGTCTTTACATAGTTTACAGGAAAATCAGCATATAAAGACTGGACGTACAGGCAGACAGACTGTTTATCCCAGGACAGATTTATCCTGTCTACTATCTGAGAAACAGAAAGATACTTTTTACCTCATCCAGGAAACACAAAGGGGTGCTTCTGTGAGAGGAAGCCCAGCGGGGTGACTCTGGGGCAAAGTGAGCCCTTCCTTCTCCTGAGGGAGCAGTGTGCATGGCCCCATGGAGGTACCTGGTGTGTGATGCCTATGGTGGGCATGTGGCTGGGTGGCCTGGGTTTCCTGGCTGGAAAATGAGATGAGATGAGATAATGATATGAGATATGAGACATGAGATGAGACGGCCCCTGTTTCCTCTTCCAGATGAAAATTTTTCTGAAATGTAGGAGAAAAAAAGGAAGTGCTATCAGCCCCTCCCAAGACTGTTGTGGATGCCCCATCCCTGGAGGCATTCAAGGCCAGGCTGCATGTGGCTCTGGGCAGCCTGGTCTGGCGGCTGGGGACCCTGCACATAGCAGGGGAGTTAGAACTAGATGATCTTTGTGGTCCTTTTCAACCCAGGCCATTCTATGCTTCTAAGATAGCCAAGGGATGGCTGAAGCTTGTCTCTGTGGGTTTCAACGTCAGCTTGTCTGAGAAGCACTGTGTTCAACCTGCCTCCTCAATCAGTTGACCGCTTTATTTTTTCAAGATTTTAGCTACATAAATGCAACTGTCCGAAGAGATTGGTTTGTCCTCATTAAAACTAAGAAAATACTCTGCAGCAGATAATTTATGAGCTGACTTTTGCCTTTGCCTCTTCATGAAGTGATTAGACGGTGCTCAGAGCATTCATTATTCAACAGATTTAAATCTATTTCCTGGGCTCAGCCCTCCCAGGAGCCTCTCAATTTGGCTGTGTTTCAACAAACCGCTGGCTTTGTCCTCAGCTTCCTGCCCAGGATTAAGGCCTCTCAGCTGCCTGAGGTCACAGCTGGGTGGGAGCTGGTATGGGCACTGCGGGCCCATGGGCTCAGGGCAGCCAGCAAGGCACACCACAGGCTTAGGCCAAAGGGGCCAAGTGGGCCCTTGGTGCTCCCAGGAACACACATGTGCCTGAAAGCATACCAGCATCCTGCAGCAAGGTGCAACACTTACACTATGCTGAGTGCTGGGATGAGACTAGCAGTCTTGGCAACCACCAGTGTCTTCTGACCATGCACATGGTGTGAGCCCACTTGCATGAATTTCTTCCAAGTAATAAAGGTGGTATGAACGGCATTCGGGAGCCACAGGCAGATGGACTGGAGCAGGCTTTGTTCCATCTTCTTTGTGGCTGGAGGGAAGAATTGCCATAGGCAGTGTTTTGTAACAACCATAATATTACACACACACACACACACACACAAAAAAAAAAAAAAAAAAAAAAAGCAAGAGAAGGAGTTAGGGCTCAGGAAATAAATTAATCAGTGTTCCTCTGAAAGCAAAGGGAGCCTTTGGGTCCCAGCACAGCTGGCGTGACAAGAGGACAGTGTTGCAGGTGCCGGACACACAGCCCAGTTTGCTTCCAGCAGCATTCAGAATAATGATACTTTAATGTCTCTCTTGTTGTTTTTTTCCCCTCAGGAGCTGAGGCATGATTTTTTTCAGTGTTTGTGACTTTTCCATTAACAGCTGGAGGTTGTCAAGCAGGAGTGAAATCCCTACTGCACTGGGAGTTGTGCAAACTGGTAACACAGAGCCAGTCTGTGCTAGAATGCTTGGCCATCTCAGTTTAGACCACTGCATGGGTCAGTAGTAACCCCAAGGACAGCTTTCTGCAGTGCACAGTTTGTGTACCCTGGTGCTAAAATTCTGATTGACATACATAGGGGTTGGAACTGAATGATTTTTAAGGTCCCTTCCAACTCAAGCCATTCTGTGACTGTGATTGATTCTATGGCTCTGTGACTATTATATGACTCTGTGATTGATTCTATGACTCTACTATTTAAGAGCTGCTCACAGAACAGTAATGAATACCCTATTTAGGATAAGAAAGAGGGCAAATGACTTAACCAGAAATGAAAAATTAACGATAGATAGCATACTTTACTTCATAGATGTTGTGTATTTCAAGTCTGAGGCCTCTGTATTTGCCTGCTACATTTTTTAATACAATTTGTATTTGTTTCTGCAACACTCGTTTTCCCTGTCACACCAAAAAGACATTGACTTTAATCCAACCTAAACAGGATGTCAGGGCTTGAAGATCTCTGCGCAGTGCACAGCCAGTGGTGGGGAGCGGTGAGGGATGAGGGCAGAGCCACAAGAGGGGCAGAGCACTGTGACACCGGGCAGGGCACTGCTCGAAATAAATCATACAAGCATGCAGTCGTTTGAGTTGGAAGGGGCTCTTAAAGGCCACTGCAGAGTCCAACGCTCTGCAATGAGCAGGGACGCATACAGCTACATCAGGTTGCTCAAAGCCCAGTCCAACCTGATCTTGAGTGCCTCCATGCATGGGGCATCCACCACATCTCTGAGCAACCTGTTCCAGTGAAAAACTTTCCTTATATCCAATCTAAATCTCCTCTCTTTTAGTTAAACCCATTTCCCCTTGTCCTGTCACAACAGACCCTCCTAAAGTATCTGTCTCCTTCCTTACAGCCCCCTTCAGATACAGAAACGCACTCTCAGGTCTTCCCACAGCCTTCTTTTCTCCAAGCTGAACAGCTGCAGCTCTCTCAGCAAAAATGTTTTTTTGGGCTGGTAAGGGAGGTATCCAGCTCTTCCCACGTTCATTGGTTTCTCGTGCTCTGTGCACGGCCTGCAGAGGAGGAGCGGCTGGCTGAACGCTGAGCACAGCACTGAAGCCATGTGGCACAAACACATTAATCACACCCTTCCCTGTGACACAGATTTACTGCACTGTCTTCTGGCTCGCTTTAATACCGGAACCAAAAGAACAGAGGATTAACAAAGACCTTACCTGCACTTGTGATTGAGCTAACAATAGTAGAGAGTCAGCTGTGAGCCCGCTTCCGTCCCCTCCCTATGACCAGAGAAGGTTTTACATGGTGAAGGAATGGCCACTCTGCATCCCTTTGCTGGTGCTCTCCAGATGAGATAGCAGCACAGAAGGACACATGCAGTGGCAGCTGGACATCTGGTGAAAAGGGATGAAAATAAATCCTTTTAGGTTAGGGATCATTTTAGCAAGAGCCCCCTCCTTATTCTGGATGCTCCAGAGATGAAAGACAAATTTGAGTCGGTGTTATTTTATTTGCTGCAATAAACATTTGATTTATACAAAACAACAAGAACAAAAAGCCCCCCAAACACTGTTTACAAAGCAAGTTAAGTGCTTGAAACATTTGATAAAGAAGAGTATATAATGTTCACATTCCTATTTCATACATGATGTACAGGTGAAGTATTCCTTAAGAGAATTTAAAAAAAAAATCCCTTTACATGTAGTAGTAAAAAAAACCATCAAACAAACAAACAAAAAAAGGAAATAAATGTGTCAGTACTGTCAGTAACCTCTGGATGCCATTCCGTGACCTTCAGTGTGGGTGGAGGGAGAGAAAGCAGCCATGGCTGCCCTCAGCCCCCCAGTCCTGCTGTGCAGCACATAGCAGTGCCTCGCTAGATGGCAGTGGCCCTGCAGCTGCATCACTTTCCTTGCTTTATTTTGTTTTGGAAACGCAAATCCCTCTCCCCTCAAATTTGACACAGTGTCCTCTGAATCCTGCTGTAGTTGCTAAGATTTTGCTCTTCTCTGTTTAAATATTTCTGAGCAGTTCAGTTAAAACAAAATGAATGGGGATACAATACTGTTTGAAATGAAGTACTTTTTGCTGCAAGTCAGTCTGAGCTCCTATTTAAATGAGCATGATTCCTATTGACTTACTTGGCAGTATCTTCTAGAGTAATATCAAAGTTTATCTGTCAAAAGTGTTCAGTAAATTGCACCTGATACAGACCTGTATGGGACTGCTCTGTGCTCAACTCCTGGTTTCCACAACCCACATACATGCTGCACAATCAACAAGTACAATTAGCAGAGTGGCATGGTTAGGCTGGCATTTTGCAGGTCATATAACTAGAAGGATTATCACAGTGGAAAGGGGATAATAAAAAAATAAACAAAAATGCTCACCCGTGCCCTAAGCTCACAGAAAAAACTCCAAAGAGAGCAATCTCCAGAAAGAGATCTTTCCCTAGTGGCAGTCAGCCCTTAAATGGGGTCTAGGAGAGGTGCAGCCAGGCTCCACCCCTTCCATCACACAGCTGAATTGCCTTCACCTGTGCTCCATGGCTGACTCAGTGCTTGCCTCAGGTGATCAATCAGAGGTTCAACAGCTCCCAAACACATGCCAAAGGAAGAAAAAAGTGAAACGTCACTGCAGAACTCCTGAAGACAGAATTGTTAGCATTATTAAACGCACTGCTGTCATTTGTATAAGTTTACATATGTCAACTGTCCTCCTAAACATTCTGGATAAATTCTCACTACACTGCAGAGAAGAGGGCAGGATACGCCATGAACCTGATGCTATGGAACTTTCCCTCACCTCTAAGGTCTTGTGTGAAAGCAAAGGCACTGGGTGTTGTCTCTTACTTTTCTCTAGAAAGCGTGGAACAGAGTCAGGCTGTGGTATATCAAGCAATTAGATATGCTGTACTAGGAAAAAGTTATTTGTTCTCACAGCAACGCAATCAAGGTAAAAGGAAAGGGGAAAAAATAAGTACAGTCTGCGTTCAGAATGCAGAGCAAATATAAAACATCTGCTTGGATTACTGCTGGATGTGTCTCGTGTGTGGTTTGGGGGTCAGGAAGGGAGAAGGGGAAAAATCTCATCCCGCTGCTATTTTGCAACCTGCTTGCAAGCAGCATGAACTCAAAGCAATAAACACGTAGCACTAATGACCTCTGCATGGAAACACAGGTGGGAGGGACCAAAACTCCTCACACTCCCTCCCATTATGGGAGGCTGTGAGGACCTTGGGGTTAAGGCAAGAGGGCAAAGACATCCCCGAATCTTCTGAAAAACACTGCAGGCAGGAGCATGTAGTTACGACTGCAAAACCAGATCTGTCTCCTTGCTGTGAGACCGCTGCTGCAATTGTCGTCTCCTGGGCTGCTGGGTGTGTGCAGCACATGCTTCAAAGCCATCTTCTTATTGCTCATTGTTCCTATCTTTTTGGCAGAGTGCTTAGTGCACAATTGCTAGTGTCCTGATACACCAGTCTCCCCAGGCGCTTTCCCAATGGGGAGGGATCTCTAATGCACAGGTAATTTCCTGCAAGCATTTTTTAAACTCTTTTCCTCAGAGCATGGCTGTTTACAGATATATAGATAGATATATACATACACAGACATTTTTAATATATATGTATATATATATAAAAATAGCAATTTCATAGTTATATACAGGCATTATTAAAGTGCATAATGTTATTGGCTATTCTCAAACCTCATTTCCTGAGGAAGTGCTAACAGACTTAGCTCCTCCTGTGACGTGACGCCGGCTGCCAATGCTGGGGTATGACACCCACTCCCTGGCTTTTAACTCCCATGCACACATCTCCCTGCCCAGAGCCACAGCTCAAAGGGAGTAGTGACAGCCTCAGTCCCCCAGGAAGCAAGTCAAGGCACCGATCGTGACTTCTTCCTCTGCCAAGGTAACGTGCTTAGGAGTAACCTCCTTCCATTTCGGAGCTCTTGGGTGCGTGCTACTTGGCGGTGGTCACAGAGCCATCCTCGGGGATCTTCTCCTCTGAACAGCTTCTCCCTGAGAGCTTGTCGTGGTGCTTGAACTCACTGAAGCGCTCCGCCACGCACTGCGCCGTGAGCCGAGCCTCGGGGTCGTGGTCCCAGCACTCGATAAGGGTCTCACACACCATCTGGATGCCCTGTGGAGAGCACAGACAGAACACTGTGGTGGGGACAGCCACCGAGCCACTGCATGCTCACAAGAACTGGCTTGGGTGTCCTCTGAAGTCTAGAGGACTGTTGGCATGCCTGTGGTGACAGAACTGGTCCCAGAGGTGCTCAATGGGCTCTGCTGTCGTTGAAATGGGGATATGGTATTCTTTTTTTCTTAAAGAAACCCTACAACCTTACATCCAGTGGCTGCCATTTCTAGACACAGAATCACAGAATCTTTAGAATTGAAAAGGACCTTTGAAGGCCATGCAGTCCAGCTCCCCTGCAATGAACAGGGACATGCACAGCTAGACCAGGTTGCTCAGGGCTTGATCCAGTCCAGCCTTGAAAGTCTCCAGGGACAGGGAATCAATCACATCTCTGGGCAACCTGTTTCAGTGCCTCACTACCCTCCCTGTAAAAGACTTTTTGGTTTGGACCAGTAGAATCAAGTAGTTTTTGGTCTAGTAAATACAATCAAGAATAGCTGAATAACAACTTCCCACTCAACCCTTCCCTTCGCATGGCTGAATCCTATTTGTGTTCTGTTTTTTTTTTTTGAACAGAATTCTGATTGCCAGCAATATCAGACCTGACATCAGCCTTTATGAATTCTCCGCAGACAAACTAAAACTGTGTGCAAATATGGGCCGCAGTCCCACAAACACTTAAACACATGTCACTCACAGATGTAACTATTTAACCTTCATTTCAATGCTGATGCACATGTTTACAGGAGCAAAAAAACAGTTGCATCTTTGTAATGCATTTTGTAAACATGAGGTATTTGCCAGGAAATTGTGTGCTTTGCTTTATGACACTAAAAGCCCATTAAGCAGGATTTATCTTAAACTTCTTATTTGAAAAAATAACATTTCACAACACTACATTAATTGCATAATTTACCTAATTGTGATGTTGACTGATGTCAATGTTAATAGCAGAACGTTACTGTCTGTATACAAATAACATTAGTTTTCTGATGGCATTGAAATTACAAGCAGTAAATTAAATTAAATATTAAACATTAACTTGAAATCAATAGTGCAACAAATCTCATTAAGGGGAAAAAAATGTAATATGTAAATCCATTCCAGAATTTTATCACGATGAATAATGAGTTCATTACCAAAACACGACTGCAGAGGAAGGAAATGAATATGGAAGAGCTATTACAGTAAAAGCAACTTCTGTGGAGTTCAAAGCAGATCCTCAGCTGCTGCAAACTGTCACAGCCCCGCTGAAGCCCATGCGTCACTGAGTTGTAGATAGCGCAATGTGAAACGCTGAAGGGATTCAGACAAAGGGAATTAAATCCACCTTCACTAAATGTCCTGGGAGGGTGTTATCAGGCATTCACTTCCTGCCTTAGACTCCTAATTGAGCCTTGCTGGAGACAGCTGCGCCCACTCCAGTTACACACAAACACAGGCAGCACATCCCAGCTGGCAGGACATCCTGTGCTGGGCAATGCGGGTAGCACCAACTGCCCCCAGCACTGCTAGGACCCTGAGCCTAACGCGTGCAAGGTGCTGCTGGTGTTCCCTAGACAAGGCACAACCAGCTGTGTTGCTCCTCCTACTGCCATGCCACGTGATGCTGAAGGAGTAGCTCAGCCCTGAATGCACACAGGTCTCTGGGCCACTTAACATTACCCATGGCCTCCTCTAAGAGTCAATGACTTCTGCTTCATCAGTGACTTTGCCATCTTCTACTACGTGCATGTCATCTGACTCTTCCCAAATGCAGAACAGAAATATTTGCCGACAACTTCTGCCTTTGCCTTAGCACAAGCAGCACAGGAAGTGATGGATTGATACTGTTAGATTTCCTTTTGCTCTTGAGAAAACTTACTGACCTCAAGTCTACTGATTACAGATCTTCCTCTTCTTCTTCTATTTCCCTAATCAGTTCTCTTTATTTTTTTTGACATGTTAAGACCATGACTTTGGAATATTCTCAGAAATGTTCTCATATTGTTCCTAATTTTTTAGCATTTTCTTCAATTTTTTTTTTTGCTCCCCAGTGACCTGGCTCAGGATTCTTTCCTGCTTTGTTAATTGGACTCTTCTAAAGTCTCACATGTTCACTACTGGTTTGGGCTTCCTTTTGCCTTTGTGGAAAACAAACAGCTGCAGTCAACTCCTGATGACTTCTACCTGTTCATACATAATTAAAAAAAAAAAACAACTTGCAATCTTCTACTCTATACAGATGAGCATGAATGTAACCTCAGCTTCCCAGTTCAACAGATTGAAGACAGCTGTAGCTGTAGATCCTAGAAATGTCAAAGGCCTTTCAGTACTGGGAATATCAGTTATTCAGATGTCCCTCAAAACACAGTTCTCCTCCCCAGTGAGAGCATCCCTCCTCAATAACCCTGCTCATTACAGATGACAGGTCCAGGAATGGCGTGCACTCTGCCGCAGTCATCAGGCAGCAGATGTGTTGCTCCTGGTTGGAGGAATGACTGATTACAGCCACTCACATGGCCTTTCCTAATTAAGGGTTAGACTATAATTTTAACATTTCAACTGGAATGAAAAAAAAGGCTCCTCATAGAAATACCAGCTGATCTTGGTTGCCTGGGCTTTTATAAATGTTTGTGATACTTTCCTTTTGTCCGTAAAGACCACTCAACATATTTCATTGATAAGTGGAATGACCAAGCCTCACTTCTGTGATATGGTTCTCATTTTATCTCTTCTGATAAAACCACTCAGAGCAAAAGTTAAGGAATGCATGCCTTTGGCTCTTTTCCATTCAGCTTCAGCAGAACTCCATTGAGAAACTGGGCTGCATCTATATCACCTAGGAAGTGCCACCATGAGGTGTAAAAACAGAGAAAGCTGACAAGAGTGCTTCCCAACATGCCAGTGACTGTCACTACACTGCCCTGAATAAAAACAAACCAAGTTGCTGACGATTCACTTCCTATTTTCTTAAACCTGTCAACAGCTGGGATGCCAGTATTACTTTTCTCTGTGATAAAGTGCTGAGATTTGTTTTCTCTGCTGATGGAACCCGTGTGTAAAGCTGTTCTCTCTGACCTTTCTGAGCCTGTATGCAGTGTACTTTAAGGCCCTAATTATTCTGTGGCTGTCTGGATGACTGTGAGGTCTCAGGTTTCTATTATTTTTTGTTTTAATTTGGTCACTTTCAAATTACGCTGGTGGGCAGCAGAAATCCACAGAGATTTGGGAGCAGGCATGGTGCAGAGCACTGTGGTGTCTGAATTATGGGCAGCACCAGTGTCACTATGTGACAGAGCAATGAGTGCAAAAAGAGAGGCCCCTCCTGCTGAGCAGGACACAGAGTTAGCACTCAGGCTTTGGGCAGCAG